AAACCCCGAAGGGTTACAATGCCGGTATGTGACTAGCGTATCAGAAGTTTTCGAACTGGGGCGAACCGCTGCGAAGTGCCAATCAAAAAGGGGCGCATCACGGCCGCAGGCGTGACCAGTGCGGGCGCCCAGCCGTGAGGAAGACGGTCGACCACTGCAACACAAGCGGCTCCGCTATGGCGGAGTGCTTGGGCGAAAACGGCTACTGTTCGGTGTGGCATGTCCTGCAGGTGGATTTTGGAAGAAAAACAAGAAATAGTCAATAGTCAAAATAGTCAATCAACATAAATCGTCCCCCGAACATGTGTTTGACTATTCTTGAATATTCCTCCCGTACAGGGACATGCCCGACTTAGGGTCGCTGAGGGGGGAGAAGGGAGGGGAGAAAAAGTAGGAACTCCTGCCGCGGCTTGCGCCTCTCCCCCGCCGCTGCACCCGCCGCCGCACCGAGAGAGATACTTAAATCCATGGCGCGGACCTGACCGCTCGCTGTACAGGGCGCCACTTCACTCACAGAATGGTCACAAGTCCACCACGCTGCGCTGCGCAAGTCTGTTTCTGCTCGGACGCGCTGGGTGGTTCGCACTCATCCATGATGGGGTCGCGCGTGTTGAACAAAATCCTAGCCGCCCGCGGGCATGCAGTGTGAGGCCACCAGGTGTTCACCACGAATTGACATCATCCTACCCAGTGAACGACCTGTTTACCGTGGATGCAAGCCGTTGTAAAGACCCTCAATAATTCTGGGGGTACCTGTAGTCCAGGGAAAGTACTTGTAGTCCGGGGGAGTGGTACCTGTAGTCCTGGGGGGATACCAACAGTCCGGGGCTGGGTAACTGTAGTCCGGGGAAGGGTACCTCTGGGCCGGGGGGGATGTACCTGCAGTACATGGGGGGGAACGCGTGTTCACGCGTCAACGCACGCGTGGATGTAGTCCGGGGGAAGGGTACCTTGTCCAGGGGGGGGTACCTGTAATCCAGGGGGGGTAACTGTAGTCCCGGGGAGGGGTATAGGTTACTGTGGTCCAGGGGGTACCTGTAGTCCGGGGACCCAGAAGTATTGAGGGACATAGAGAACACGGAAAGCTACCTTTGAACCAGTCCCCCCATATAACCGAACTGGAGAAAAGCACGAGTCAGGATCAAACAGAAATCACCACGTCGAATGCCTCGGCCCTCAAGACCTCTCAACGGGTGCGTTCCTGCTAGACTTTTGAGGAAAACTGGAGCGTAGCGGCGAGGGCCACACCATGGAAACGAAGGAGCAGGCCAGCAGCGGGCTCGAAACTTACACAAAATCTCGATCCTCGATCATCCCCCTCGAGCCCACACCCTCAGCCTCCTCATCCTCGTCTCCTGCCCAAACGACGTCGTAATGTGAGAAGCCGTGTTCTGTGCAAGCTCTACTGGTGCCAAATCCCAACCTCCCCCGCTCTGGAACCAGCGCCTCCCACCCCTTGACCACCCCTTCTCTGGAACCCGGACCCCTTGGCCCCCCACCCCGTCCCCGGCTAGAACCCCGCCAAACCCCTCCCTCCGCCTTCCCCTTTCCGAAAATTGGTGGGAAAGGGTTGAAGCCCCACGTCGTCGTCGTCGTCGTCGTCGTCGTCGTCGTCGTCGTCGTCGTCGTCGTCGTCGTCGTCGTCGTCGTCGTCGTCGTCGTCGTCGTCGTCAGCGTCGTCGTCGTCGCCGTCGGTTGCCTGCGCCAGGCGTCGGTCGGGCGGGCAAGCGGCACGCACATTGTCGACACGCTGTCGTCGGCGAGGCGATCTGGCTGGCAGGACACGTCTTAGGTCGGGCATGTCCCCCTACAGGCGGATATTGGATTGCCCAACGCAAAAATTGTAAAAAATGTAGACAAATCGTGCCCTGAATACTTCTGTACTATTTTTGAAGATTCCCCCTGTAGAGGGACACGCTGGACTTAAGACACGTCGTCGTCGTCGCACCTTGCTGGCGAGCAGGTCGGGCGGGCGGGGCACCTCGTTCGACGTCATCGTGGGCATTGGAGTCCCCCTAGATGGGGTCGGAGTAGATGGGGTCGGGGGACCGCGCCGCATCACCGATTATCGGCGATGCATCGGCGACGTCGGCGACGCAGCGGCAATGTCAGCGTAGAGAAAATCGGGCTCCACATCGAGCCGCATCGCTGATGCATCGGCGACACGGTGCGATCCTCCGACCCCATCTACTCGGAACCCATCTGGGAGGCCTAGAGGCGTGCCAGTCCAGCGAGCGGGCCGCACGCATCGTCGTCGTCGCCGTCGTGGTCTGGTCCTCGTCTAAGCTGGGGGAGCCAGCGCCAATGATGCGGGGGGGTGATGAAACCGTCACCCCCCCAAACTTGGGGAAACCAAAGGTACCGACATCTCCCGGGGTGCGTTCCAAGCAGGCCTTTGAGCTGAGCCCAGCGGTGACGGCGAGGGCCTCCCAGGAGGCCCCAAAGGGGAGAACGAGAGAGACGTAGCGGCATGGGTACAATCGGGGCGTTGACCTGAGGAACCCTAAATTAGGAACGAGGCTCCTTTTTTTCCCCATAAGTTAACCTCCGATTCCCTGTCGAAAACATAAGGAAAGCCTGAGGCAAGCTGTGAAACACTTAAGAAACGCGGAGCCCCTCCCCAACGAAAAGGGTTCCTTCTTCAGTCGAACACATCTACAACTACACACAGCAAAACTGCACCTTGTTGCGGGGACCAGGGGTGGCAATCATAATTCGATTTGGCGCGTCGGTCGGTCTGGGTGGACGGACGCCGCCTCGCGACCTACGATGGAAGGCGATGGTCGTGCCGACGACGTTGCGTGCCAAGCGTGGAAACGATCACCACGTTTCACGGCGAGGCTTGGCGGCACCCGCAAGAAAAATCATAACACGAAGAAGCGCTTCACCCTCGGACGGGGGATCCGGCACGAAGAAAAACTCGAAAGCGCGGGGGATCGGATCGCGAATATGCTGCTGGGGCACAGGCGGGGGAGGGAAGCGGGCCGCGCGAGGTCGAGGCCCCCAGGCATGCGGCTGGCTTCGCTGAGCCAGGGGATGTGGGATGTCGGTGGGAAGCGGCCCAGGGGGCGGGGCCTCGGCGATGGGCGGCGCGGGCAGCCGATGCTTCGCGAAAAGGGGACACGTACAGAACGGCACTTAACGGCCGGGGCGCGGTGCACGTTGGGGGCGCGAGTGGCGGCGCCCGACGCGCACCCCGCCCCGCTGGCTAGGTGTAGTTCTATAAGTGCTCCGTTTTGTGAAGATGTCTCCGGCGAAACCAGCACGTACAGAACTACACCAGCCGTCTGAACGTGCTGGATGTCTCGCGCGGGGCGAGCACGCACAGACCGGCACCTAGCGAAAGGGACGGGGCACAGGTCGGGTGCGTCGTCGCGCCCCGCCCGCAGAGTCAGGAAGGCAACGGCCGCTGAACCGCCTGCTGGCCTCCGGGCGGGGGATCTGAACGTCCTGGGGTTGTCCGAAGGAATTCCGCACGCGGCCTCCGCCCACGTCGCTCCCCCTATCAGAGCATCTCGCCTGGTCAAGATGTTCCCCATTCCCGCCCGCTGCTCTGCCCTCCACCTCCCCCGTTCTTCCTCTACCTGCCGCCCTCCATTTCCTGGAGCATTTTCCAATTGCCCCTGGCCCCTGCGCGGCGGCGAACGCCCGCGCCCCCCCGCAGCTGAAAGACTTACTTTGCGCTCATCCTCCAATCCGCTCGTGGGGCGCAGGTCTTGATTCCACACTGACACTGGCAAGCGAAGTCGAGGCCCCGGCAAATCCGACAGGCGCGATCGCCCCCCTCGAATGGCGGGCGAACCAATACGTAAGACGATGTCGCAAAAGAACGTTTGGAATTTGGGGGTCCGCGCAAGAAGCTAATCCACTCGCCCAAAGTGTAGTTCTGCGCCTGTCCGATTCAGGGCCCCGACTGTACCTCGTTCCCCCCAAAAAAATCCCCCCTCAACGTGCTCCGAAGACGCACGTTCTCGGTTCTTCTCCGCAGCCTGGACCTCCACGGAGGCCCTGACACCTCTCCCCAGAAGACTGGCCTCTCGGCCCCCCTCTCCTTCTCGCCATCGCCCGGGCGTCCCTTCCGCCTGCATGTTTGCTCAACCTCGTGCGCTTACGGCAGCTCGACCAGAAGAAACCTTCCACAAGAGACCCAACCCTGAGAACCCAGGACGTCCGTTGACTTGAGGCGCGGGAACGTCACGCTTACCGTAGCAAAACCATCGGCGCCCAAGAAACCCAGTGCACCGTGGAGGCAAGCAGGGTGTTCATTGGCATGGGTTCCCACGGCACTTTTTCACATGAAGCTTGCAGATGCTCCTCGACGGTCCCCGCCGAGAGAACATGCACACGTCCGAGCGATGCCGAGCCCCTGGCCCTGGCCCCCAGGGGCCGAGCAGGACCAGAAGCCTCTTAGGCGTCGGAGGTCCACGCCCTCGCCCACATCAGACCTCGTGTGCCGAAGAGAACGCAACATTGCAATACATCTTGGCACGGCCCAGTGGCCCCGGTACCTTGAACCATCGATGCATACCTTGCGCAGCCTCCTGCCGATGCCGAGGCATCGCCAGCCCGATGCCCAGGCATCACCAGGCCGATGTCCAGGCATCGGCCACGCCCAGCCACGTCCATGGACGCACCCCTCGATGCATGCGTAGGCATACCCATGCGGATGCCCAGGCATCCGAGGCATCGACACGGCCATGCCTAGGCATGCCACGATAAGGCGTAGGCACCCAGGCCAGGGGGCCCAAGGCGATGGCGGGCAATCAGCAGAGCGAGCGGGCCGACCCCACACACACCGCCACCGAAGCCCTGCACCCCGCCTCTCTGCGCCACCTTTCGGGCCGGATCGACCTGCGAGGGCCCCAGGGCTCGAAGCGGCGCGAAAACGCCCGCTGCGGCAAAATGTCCAACGCCAGGATCTCGGGGCTCTCGTGCAGTGCCCGATCGGCGGCGACGGCGTCGGGCGTGCCGAGCCCGGGCGAATGCCCGCCCGCGCGCGCCTGTGCCGCAGCGGCGGTCGCCAGGCCCCGGGAAGCAGGGCGGCGCGGGGGAGCCTCTGCACCGTCGGCAGGGGGAGCGAGAGGGCCCCCCCCCAGGACGAGGATGAATCCGGATGAGGGCACATCGAGAGTTTCTCAGATCTGACGGCTCTGGAGGATGTATCGGGCGCGCGGCCTTCCCAGAGCGCCCCCGAACGCCCCATGAGATCTTCCCGGAACGCCCCAGGACGGACTTATCCCCGTCCCAGCCCCGCCCGACCCCTCCCGAGAGGGGGGTCCAGGGGGGGGGGGGGCGGCGGCGAGGGTGGGGTTGCGCCTTTTGGGGCGCTTCTGCGAAAAGTCCTCCAGAACCGAGCGTCGAAGCTCCCCAGCCCAGCCCAGAGGGGAGAGAGGGGGGCCAGGTGCAAGTGGCCGCTCGGGACATCCTCACAATTTGCCCCCTTCGGGCGCGCAAGTGCTATGCCTGGTGCGGCATGCCGATGGCCGCCTCGGATTACTAACAGGAAGCGTGGGCCCGAGAAGGGTGGGAGCCCCGCCCGAGGCGTCCTCGCAATCCACAGACGAGACGAAGCCCCCCGCTCCAGACGCCCTCACACTCTGCACCCCAGGGTGCCCAACCGAAGGGGGGACCGCTGTGAGCGGGAGGGTGGGGCGGGCGGAGCAGGAGGAGGAGGAGAAGGCGGAGGAGGAGGCGGAGGAGGCGGAGGAGGATGTGGAGGAGGAGGGAGGAGGAGAAGGACGAGGAGGAGGACGAGGAGGAGGAGGAGGAGGAGGAGGAGGAGGAGGAGGAGGAGGATAAGAGCAGGGAGGCATTTGTGGAGGAACGCGCGGACCTCTCGGGTCGGCGCTGTGGCCCCCAGCGTCGTCGGTGACGGTGGCGGCGCCCGCGCCCGACGGGCTTTGCGCTCCCGCGGCAGCTGATCAGCGCGGTCTTCGGCTCTCCCACACACACACCACATCAAGAGTCCGCGAGTCCGGGCGGCTACCTCCATGACAACCTACCAAATCACCCTGCCCCAACCCGAAGACCCGCATGTCGGGTTGGGGGGGGGGGGGGGGGGGCGGGTTCCATATGTGTGTGTTTTCAATGTTCCTCGACCCCCCCACACACTGGAAATAGAGGGCTAACTGAGGCCTTCGGGTTGAGCTGGGGTGGTTTGGTGGGTGGTGCCTCCAGGGCGCATCGAGGACTGGCCACAAAACAGCACAACCTCAGGGGCAGCAAACTCCTGCAGCGTGTCCTCCTCCCTTGGACTCCCGCGGAGGCCTCTGGAGGCCTCCAGGCTGCCTCTGGGTGCACGGTGTCCTCCGGAGCCGTAGGCGACCCAAGGAGGAGGAGGAGGAGGAGGAGGAGGAGGAGGAGGAGGAGGAGGAGGAGGACGGGTCGCCAAGGCCCTTCGGAGAAACCCTCCACCTCTGGGAGGTTCAATGGTGTGGTCGGGTGCCTTGTCGGCAGTCGATTGGTGGCAGTGTTCGTGCGGTGGTTTCGACGTGGGCTCGACGTGTGGACTCCCCGCGGACAGCCCTGCGACGAGACAACGTTCATCGAATAAGCAATACTGAAAGGGTCCAAAGACACACAAATAAATGCACACACAAATCCCAAGATTCCCAATATATTCTTTTGATGTCCGTCTTTACCCCCACTTCCCATGTTTTCCCATATGTTCAGGGGATCGACGGTTAATTGTGTCTGTGATTTCTTTCCCTCCTGAAATACAAGGAAATAGGGATGGACAGGGGGGCCGTCCTTGAGACGAGGGTCTGGTGCGAGCAGTCTCGGGTAGAGACGGCTTGACTATGTGTTCAAACAAGTCAGTCAATTGCTGCCAGTCCGGCGACCTGTCGACGTCGTCACTGGGCTGGACTGCCCAAATTGTGGCAACGAAAACTAACACTGAGGAAGATACGCGCGCCGCTAAGCCGTAATGGCGAGGGCAATTGCAAAAGCACTGCCCCCCAAGGCGGGTTGGCCGAGTCTGTGTGGCCAATGAGTCTGTCAGTTTGCCCTGTTCGCCGGCGGCAAACGCTTGGGTCGGTGCTGGAGGCTGCTATCTGTAGATCTGATCACCCTGGTTGCTTGCTCGTCTCTCGGACGTCCATTGCCTGTGCATAGTTCAGTTTGTGCTCTTGCATTGCAAGCAGATCCAAGATGCTCCTCGCCGAGAACGTGCAGACGTCCGAGCGATGCCAAGTGTGCCCGTCAAATTCCTGGCCTTGTGAGTCTCTGGCTGAGCCCCGCCGGCCCAGGAGCAACCCGCTAGCCCCTCTGGGGGAACGCCACGCTGCGAAGAGGTGCCTGCCGGACTGCTGCCGCATGCTGTCCGCGAGACCCTCACGGTGGTGGCATTGGATAAGGGACCACAGGATGAGGAATCCAGTGTCTCGAAGCCAGCGGAACTTCGATCGTGGATTGGCCACATGTATATATATATATATGTATAGATCACCCTCGCCCTTATTAGATGAGGAACCCCCCAGGGTCTGGCGCCTCCTGGGCACATTCCTTAACCAACACCCCGACCGTATGTGCTTGTCTCGAGGGCTGAAATTCCAGGCGGCTCTGGGGCCACTCTGCACTGCCAGGAGCACCCGCTGAGGGTTCGAACACGGCCCCAGGAAGCTCCGAGAAGGGCCTCAAGAGCCCAAGACCAAACATACGGCAAACGAAGAGCCCAAGGGGCTCAAGAGCTCAAGAGCCCAGTACAGCAGGAGGCAGCAAGGACAAAAAGGAGGAGGATGAGGAGGAGTAGTAGGAGGATGCCCAGGAGGGACCCAACGCTTCTTCTCCTCTCCCCTCCAGCTTCCTCCGCTGGCCGCTCAATGTGGGCGCAGGTCAAAACACCTCTGCCAATTAGAAGTGACATCCTGCCAATATCCGCCACCGTGCCTCTGGGCACGGAGTGGGCGTGTCCTCGGGTCCTTTGCCCAATCCCCTGAGTCTCAGTCCTCAGCCCCGAGGAGTCTCAGAGGGGGCCGGTTCCCCAAACTCTCAAATCTTCTTGGGCTTGGCGCGTGCCCCCTGAGGTTTCCGGCCGCGGTGGCGCGCAATTGTTTCGGGCCCAAGAGGGCCCCATCACGTACCCAGAGAGCCCCAAGACGCCCCCAAGACTGTTCAAAAGGGCACCGAGTCGCCACACTATCGCTCCAAGACGCTCAAGATGGCCCCCAGACGGCCCAAGAGGCCTCCGAGACGCCCACTGAGGCCTCCAAGAAGCCTCCCAAGAGGGCGCCAGGAGGCAACAATCCTTGATTTTACTTAGGTTTTTGCACGATGTTGGCGTTCTCGCCTGGTCGGCTTCCTGACGCTCCCAGACGGCCCTAGAGGCCGCCAAGACCGCTCCAAGACGGCCCAAGAGGCCTCCAAGACCGCCCTAAGATGGCAAGACAGCCAAAGAGGCGCCCAAAAAGACCCAAGACGGCCCCCACAGCGGCCCCAAAGAAAGAACACGAAAAACAAATCTGGGCCTTCCTCCCCAAGAGGCCCCCGAGAGGCCCCAAGAGGCGCCCCGAAGCCCCAGGAGGCCCCTAAGAGGCCCCCAAGAGGCCCCCAAGAGGCCCCAAGATGCCCCCAAGAGGCTCAAAAGAGGCCCCAAGAGGTCCCTAAGCGATACCCCAAAGGCGTCCAAACTGCCTTCAAGATGCCCCCGAGAAGCCTCATACGACATCCTACCCACAACCCAGGCACGTTGGCGGGATGGGCCGAGGGCCATTAGAAACTGCACCGCGGTATGCTCGCAACGTCTGGCTTACAAACTGCGACTGCGTAGATTGCTACCTCGCTTCTTTGTCTTCCCATGATGCTGTTCAATGCCGACGTTTGTGCTCGCAATCTCGGGCCCCCGGGGGGGTTCTGTTGCCCCAGGGGACATCAAAAACGGCACGCGTCGACAGAGGCTTCGCCCAGGGAAGGGGCCACGACGTCACCAGTCAGGCGGGGGGTCCACTGGCAGGGTTGTCCGCCGGGGGCGGGCCTCCCTCAAGACGAAGGCACCGCCGACATGCGACCAGCAGGGGTGGCTCAGTTCGGGCTGGAGGGCACGGAGGACAAAACTGCCCGGCGACGTGGCTGCTCCGGAGCGAGAGCGCGTGCCGTGCCGACCGACGCCCGACGACGCCACGCGCGGAGGCGCAGATGCAGGGGCAAGGGGAACACGGCGGCCAAGTGGCGACGGAGGCCAGGCCCGACTCGAAGGCCCATGTTGCATGCATCTCACCCCGCAGTCCGTTGCGCATTTGAGCGAGAACGTAGCGTGCAAGAGAGCCAAGACGGAGGAACAGACGAGAAGCGACCAAGGCCACGGGAGGTGGGGGGGGCGAGAAGGCGAGCCAGGGCCGATCCTTCCCATTGCGCTGAAACCCTCTCCATCCGCCGACGGGGAAAATCCTTTAGATAGACGACTCTGATGCCGAAATGACCCCACTGCATGGTACGCGATCAGACGAAGGGACCTTGCACGTTCGACGACGGGGCGGTCGAGCAGGAGGATGCGCAGGACGACGACGACGACGAAGACGACGGCGACGACGACGACGGCGACGACGGCGGCGGCGACGGCGACGGCGACGGCGACGGCGACGGCGACGACGACGACGACGGCGACGGCGACTTCCACGGCGATGGTCAACCACTTGGAGTCCCGAAACGGTAGGGTGACAGACCGTGCGGTGACCTCGAAATCCCCAAGACCTAACCGCACGGTCCGTCGACGCACGGTTTTGGGACCTCGGATGCCCCGGTCGCCCAAAACGTCCACGGAAAACGACCCGAGTCCCAAAACCGTGCGGTGACCCCGAATCCCCACCGAATCACCACACGGTGCGTTGAGCAGCGACCGACCGTCCGGCATTCCTGTAAGCCTACCACGAAATGTTCTTAGAACCCGAAAATGTTCGAATCACAAAACCAATGTTCTTAGAACATCAACCCGATGTGTGCAAGACAGTCCCAGCCAGAAATGTTCTAAGAGCATTTCGTGGAAACCACAAAAGGTTCTTGGAACATTATTTGGAAAGGCCTATAGGCGAGCCAGGCCGCTTCGCCACTGCTTGAGACACGTCCTCGGAGAACGACCCGAGTCCCAAAACCGTGCGGTGACCCCGAATCCCCACCGACTCACCACACGGTGCGTTGAGCAGGGACCGACCGTCCCGGCATTCCTGTAAGCCTACTACGACATGTTCTTAGAACCCAATAGTGTTCGAATAACAAAACCAGTGTTCTTAGAAAATGCAACCGATGTGTGCAAGACAGTCCCAGCCAGAATTGTTCTACTAAGAACATTTCGTGGAATCCACAAAAGGTTCTTAGAACATTCTTTGGTAGGCCTATAGGCGAGCCAGGACGCTTCGCCACTGCTTGAGTGCGGTCACCACCCCGTCTGGGGGCCCCCGAGACCGCCGCCGCTCGCCGCCCCCCGTCGCCTGCCACCCCCGGCGGCCGAGGGCGCCGCGGCGGGGGGGGCGCCTGCGGCGGCGCCTGGCCCACGGAGGCCGCCTGCAGCGCCTCGCGCGCGGGCGCGCGGCGGGCGGCCCCCCTGCGGCCCCTTCCGATGATCCCCAGAACGCGTGCCAGCGCCAGCGTGTGATTGCCCATCGAGGCCCTTCGGTACAGTCGGACTCCACTGGACAGGACACGCGAGAGGACAGAAGACCCTTCCGAGGTCCACATTGCCACAGGAATGTAGGAAGCATGGGTCGCGAGACACAGGACACAAGGGTACCCTTGATTTGGCAGGGTCGACATACTAATCTGGGCCGTCTGTACGACGCAGGCGACGTAATGATCCGTCGACTGAGCTGAACGGGGTAAACACAAATGGGGCTCATCGACCCCCTGGGGATCATCGACCCCTGGGGCCCTGAGGATCATCGAGCCCTGGGGCCGCTCTCGGCGAGCGGCCCTCCGGGGTCGTCGTCGCCGCGGTCGCCGCCATCGTCCTCGTGGCCGTCGGAGGAGGGGCGGGCGGGAGAGGGGGTTGCGCGCTCGGAGGTGCTGGTTGCAGGCTTCCAGGGGGGACTTCCAGCGGGGCCCAGAAGATCCTCCTCCTCCTCCTCCTTCTCCTCTTCCTCCTCATCCTCCTCCTCCCTCCTCCTCCTTCTCCTCTTCCTCCTCCTTTCCGTTCCCCCCCCTCACCCTCTCCCTCCTGCTGGCGACGGTCATGGGGCCAGTTTCTGACACCTCGGGGACCTCAGCGGGTTCTGGGGGGCATTGGGCCTCGGTGGACCTAAGAATCTCAGGGGATCCGCGGAGGAGCTCAGCAGGTTGCTCAGGCCCATGATCCTCGATGCGCAAATTGTTACCACCCACTCCTCCTCCTCATCCTCTTCTTGCCCTCCGCGAATGCCACAGCGCTTTGTTGCGCAGTATGTTGGACACGGCAGGACAAAACGTGCCATGCACTGAGAATGAATAACTGAACGACCAACCGACATACATCCGCGTGCGGGACATACTTGACGGCTCCGCGGCTGAATGCGCGGCGTCCTGGTGATCCGGCTATGTGCGCCGACCCAACAAATTTGCGTGTCCCCAGACGCTCTTCACTACGTGGAACACCGTCCGCGGCCACAAGCGGCTTCAACACAATCGGAGGATATTGGCCCGCAAATGGCTCCAGAGTCATCGCCGTATGCTGAGGGTCCTTAGTAAACCAACGTGCGTTGGGCTAACACACGCTCCTTCGCTCTGTGCTGGGGCTCATGATGCTAGGAGACAAGTCAGCCACATGAACACAAATCCACCTGAACCAATAGCAGGCGTAAGATATGCGCTCCGTGGATGACCGAGCCTCACCATGGCGGCAGAGGGGGCGCAGATTGCACACAGGGCGGGGAAGGGCGAGGAACAAGGGGGCGAGTGAGGCATTGGACGAAGGGAGGAGGGAAAAACGGGAGTGAGTAAAGCCGAAAAACAAATAGAGATATATATATATATATATATCTATATATATATAGGGAGAGAGAGAGAGAGAGAGAGAGAGAGAACGAGGCAACGAAAGCCAGGGGAAGCGGGGAGGGCGGGGGGAGGGCGCACAAGGAGGGCGAAGGGGACGGGGAAGGCGGCGGAGGGGAGGGGAACGGCGAGGAATGCAGGACTGAGGAGAGGGCCGACGAAGGCGAGGGAGAGACGGTGCCGCGAACCACTAGAGGACGAGGCCGAGGCCGAGTTGGGAAGAGGTGGTGGGGGCGGGCAACATGGCACCCCCGTGGCGCTGGCAACCGCGGGCGCCACGCCCATCGCCTTCGGTTCGCGTGGCGGGCTAGAAGTCTCCTCGTCCCCGTCCTCACCCCTGTCCTCCACCTCTTCCTCCTTCTCCTCCTCCGCCTCCGCCTCCTCATCATCAACATCAACATCATCATCACCATCACTACCACCTCCATCACCATCATCACCACCATCAACGTACACATAACCATCATCAACATCGCCACTATATCAACATTAACAATATCGTCATCGTGATTACCATCAACATGCCGCTCCCAATACCGTGCTCC